TTCAGTTACCACATGAAATCTAAATTTTTCTATTTGCTCGGCCAAACCATTTTAGATGGATGGTGGGCGGTCGTGAAGGTTTATTGGCGATGTCACATTGCAGTTAGAAGTTGATTATGTAAATTCTGCCCTTTATCTGGGTATCACTCTGGGTGTGAAAAAGGATAGATAAGATGAGTGACTGGTATGAGCCAATTAGCCATTAAGCAATTTCTTACTGCAATGGTGCTAGTACCACAAATCTGAAAGTGGTCAGCATGAAAAAGTGAGGGTCCATAAGTTGTTCCCGTATGTTATACACCATTCAACATTTAGCAATGTGATGCTCTGTCGGTCCTCTAGTTTTCCAATAATATTTTATATAATTTCTGTTAGATATCTGTCTCAGCCCTGAAGCTAGCTTAAGGGTGCATCATAGTGAGGTGAGATGTTTCAACGCTGTGATGTAGAATAACAATTTGAGAGATTGACTATTATTTGTGTGTTTTCACTGAGCATTACAGTATAGTATTAGAGTGCCTAACAGAAAGCGCTAGCAAGTGGGAGAGTAATTTTGGCAGAAATTTTATATCTCTCGATTCTAAAGGCATATATAATATGGACACTGGATCTCATAAACTATAGTGCCTTGGACTTTGTGTCCCAGGGTGAACATGAGGTAGTGGCTGACAGGGCTATGTCAATATATAACGATAGCTGCATTCACGGCCAAGCAAATACTTGAAGTCAGGTGCAGCTCCTGTATAGTTAGATACTAAACGCCCTGATAAGTTCTTCTGTAAATAGTTCCATCACGGCTACATAGTCTGTGTGGACTTTGATTGGATATCCAAGCAAGTCTTCAAGAATGGTTCTGGGAGAGTCCACTGCAGCATACTGCTGCTAGGGAAGTGACCAACTGAACAGCGATGATTTCGCCATCGTTGAGGTGCGACAGGCGTATGCAATACTCGCCACTTTCCTCGATGATCGAGACAGACACCACTACCCTAAATATAGGCCCTTAGAGCGTCGGTGCACATGATGATAAAGCTGGTTTTAATAAGCCAGTCGAAGGCTAACACTGAACTCATTAAAGACGCTCTTGGGGCATGGCTGTCCTCTTGTTTTGTTCCCTGTAAAACTCTACGTTTTTTGAGGGTGCGTGAGTGGTGATCTGTAGCGGCCCTTCAATGAAAACGGTAGTATCCGATAATCCTAAAACTACAGGATTGATCTACGTTCTTGTGACAAGGGTAGCCTTCACCGCCTTTGCCTTGAAATCTACTGTGTTATTATCTGTTATGCATCACTGCAGCTGTATCCTTTTGTGAAAAGCTTTCTGGCGAACACTAAATGGCTTTAGCCGTCGCCTTCTTATGCTAAGATCATCTAGATAGGCATATTTGTGTTACCCTACCATTCCAACAAACCAAGTCATTTTTCATTCTTTGGAATGATAGGCACATATCTTAAGCCAAACCATTTCTTAGGGTACAAAACCTCCCAAAAACTTTTGAACGTATCTCGCAGGATTCATGCCTTGGGGAATTTTTCCGGTGCCCATAATGCGTCAAAATTACTGAAGGTAACGTTGATATTTCACCACAGACATAATAAGTCCAGTTGCAGGACTGGGCATTGGGAACTTGTCTTGTGCAGTTGCCTGGTTGACTCGTTGAAAATATGACTGGTCTCCATCCTCCATCTTTTTTTGGAACTTGGAATAAGGTGAGTTCCATGGTGATGAGAGGTTGGTTTTGGTACCGTATATTTGTACCATCTGTTGACTTCCACCGTCTTCGGAGTTGTGGTGTAGCCTTATGCTGGGATGTGGATTGGGTTAGTGTCGCTTGAGTGAATATGATGGTTGTCAACGTTTTTTTACTCGGGTTTTCAAGGTAATGCTGTGATTCCTTGAACTCGTTGCTTAATTCAAAAGATCACTTTTGTCTTGGGGTGATTATTACTTCGTGGCGGTCTATTAACGCTACTTTATCTACCTGTGGTAATTATTGGTTCTGCGTGTTTGTTCGTAAACATGGAAATTATAAACAATATCCCTTTTATAGCCAAACAAGAGGATCCTGTGAGACCTATTCTTTTGTTTACAGGTAGACTAGTGACAAACTTTTCATCGTGAACTTTCATCAGACACACATCTGTTCGCTTCAATCACATTGGCAGAAACGTGTTGTGACTCTGAGTTAGTTGGTTCTGGCTTTATGTAACTGTTTAAGCACCGTTAACACAGCAGGCGTTAGAGTCTAGTTCAGCTCTTTCATCTGAAATGTCTTTGATGCTAAGTTTTAGGGTTTCAGGAGGACTTGTAACTAATGCTTATGTTGCGATAGACTTTGCGCCTGTCGAGGGTTATTGCGAACACCTGAAGTAAGCATGGATGTGATTTGCATTTATTATGTTTACAATTATGAGTTATGGGTTTAATTTCGTGGCTATTTATGTTAATGTTGGCAAGGAAAATGCCTTGAGCTATTGTAGAAATCCGTGAAGAAAGTTTTAGTGGACCTAGAAAACGGATTGGCAGTGTTATTACTCCGCTATTGGTTCTGACACACCGGAGGAAGTGTCTGTATGTCTTATTGGCTAATTGTATTTGGAGGATATCTGCGCTTGGTCATTGGACAGGGTTTGGTTTTTTTTTTCGTATTATATTTCTGTATATAGGGATAACTGATTGTTACCTATCTCGCTGGTACAGTCAACATCACGCTGTAACGTGCGTTATTGAGTCGGTGATGGAAGAGTTGCTGGTTGTTGTTTAATCCTAGAGTGTTTGTTGGACGCGTCTCTTCCCCGAAGGCTTTGTACTGGTGTTACGTCTTGCCTCAGACGCTGTATATTCCTGCAATCTTCGTGTTGTGGTATGGAGACTGATGTAATATACACCATTTATTAGGAGTGGTTTTAGTGTTTGTCGATATTTTACTTCCTGAGTAGTGTCCTTTAGAACTTTTTGGTGTAGCAGGACTTTCTGAATATTTAAAGTCCTGCAAGGATCCTTTTCCTTGATCTTGCCACGGGCTGGCTGGATTTTTGTCTGTTTGTCCTGCAAACCAGCTATTTTCTGTGGCATGTCTCTTACACTTGCAGACTATGCAAAAGGTATTCTTTTGGGTTTGGTTCTGGTGGCGGTTTGTGGTTGTTCCTTAGAGCTGGTGACTGGTGCCACTGACAGAGCCCTAGGATTATGTTCAATCGGTTCAGCAATTTCCTCCACATAGTCTACAAGCTTAGTCCCTGCTTTAAATTATTTCTTTCGGGCTTTCTAGCGTATGGGTTCACGTAGAGACAAGATAAACTGAAGGAACGCAATGATCTTGTAGAAAATTTCTTTAGACAAGTTGTCATTGTCATCGAACCAATTTGAGGATTCCAAATAAATTTTGAGATCTATCTTAGTGTGTTCGGCAAAAATCTGGGCGTCTTGCTTGTCATGTGCGAACAGAGTGTCACATGTACGCTTTCCCATCTGGAAAATCCAAGCAAGCGGACCTCCTTCGGTACCTGACCCGAAATGGGGATGAATAGTTTCCTGAACGTTGGATAATCATCAGTTTCTTCATCAATGGCTGACGCATAGATCATTCTCGCTGCCCGACTACCAGTTTTGATAAGGCTTCGGAAGTATGCGATTTTATCTACATCATTAGCGACATTATTATTTCTCATTACATCTTCGCACTTAAGCAAAAATGCTAAAGTAATATAAACTGAATCCTCTGCAGTAAACTCTTGTACTTTAATGTTATTTGGAACTATCTTTACAGTTTGACAGACCGACGAAGTCTGTGTATTAGTAGAACCTGTTGCCATTTTTGTTGTGTTAGTTAAAGCACTAGTGTTAGTAACAGGTAAAAGTAATGGGTAAATGTTTCCTGACCTTAATTGTCACTGAGAATCTATGAAATTTGCACAGCTATCTAGAGTCGGTGGTAGGTGTTAGCTCTACCATCTGTCTTTGTTACTACTGTGTTTCTGTGTATACGTTTTGCAAGTGTTTATAGTCACTGTCCACTTGTTTATCTTGTAAATGCTTGCTTATTGATCATTCACTTAAAGTGCCACTTAAGTCACTGGAATCGCTTGTTTTATTGTTTCTGAGTGTTTCACTGATTATCTTATTCATTCGTCTCACTCGGCTACCACCAGTATGGGATCGCGGGTTTTTTTGTATCATACACAATTGTTTTAAATAAGTTCTGGAACTCTTACAGTGGCAGGGCTGATGTAAACACTTCTTCTGGAGTTTTTTATTGTTGAAGTGTCTATATACAGTACACAGTATTTAGATTGGGAGAGAATGTATTGGGAATTCTCTCCAGGGGAAGATTTTAACGTACACTTGTATGGGAACACTTAAATTAGGTGCTCTCCCATTAACTAGTAGTAAGAATCTGCCCTCTCCTCTGAGCAGGAGAGGACCGTAAGGCGGGCTGTTGTGATTAGTCAGGTGACCTCGCCGGACTCCTGCGAGTGTTACTAGCTCAGCGGGTATAACGTGAATATCTACTGAGTCAATGTTGAATAACAAAGTGAATAATTTGGTGCCGCTACAGGGTGCCACGGATATTAGGATGCCGCGGATGAAAGGGTGCCACGGATGGTAGGGTGCCGTGGATAGTAGGGTGCCTTAGGGTGACTAGGTGCTGCGGGTGGAAGGTGGGGGGGGCGGATGGTAGGGTGCCGCGGATAGTAGGGTGTCTCTGGTGACTGGGTACCGCAGGTGGAAGGGGGCATTGGTGGTAGGGTGCCGAAGATGGTAGTGTGCCTCATGACTGGGTGTCGCAGTGGTGCCCGGGACTGGGTGCTGCAGGTAGTGCCTCAAGTGACTGGGTGCTGCAGGTAGGGTGCCTCTGGCACTGCCGCAGGTGGTAGGGTGCCTCTGGTGGCTGCCGGTGGTGCAGGTGCTGGCTGCTGCAGGTGGTGGGTGCCCAGGTGACTAGGTGCTGCAGGTGGTAGGGTGCCTCTGGACTGGGTGCTGCAGGTGGTAGGGTGCCTCAGGTGACTGGGGGCTGCAGGTAGGGTGCCTCTGGTGACTGGTGCTGCAGGTGGTAGGGTGCTGCTGGTGACTGGGTGCTGCAGGTGGCAGGGGCGTGGGGTAGTGCCTCTGGTGACTGGGTGGGTGGTAAGTGCCTCAAGTGACTGGAGTGCCGCAGGTGGTAGGGTGCCTCTGGTGACTGGGTGCTGCAGGTGGTAGGGTGCCCTGGTGTGGGTGCCGCCAGGTGGTAAGGTGCCTCAAGTGACTGGGTGCTGCAGAGTGGTAGGGTGCCTCTGGTGACTGGGTGCTGCAGGTGGTAGGGTGCCTCTGGTGACTGGTGCCGCAGCTGGTAAGGTGCCTCAATGACTGGGTGCCGGGTGGTGGGTTCTGGTGACTGGGTGCTGTAGGTAGAGGGTGCCTCTGGTGACTGGGTGCCGCAGGTGGTAGGGTGCCTCTGTTGACTGGAGTGCTGCAGGTGGTAGGGTGCCTCTGGTGACTGGGTGCTGCAGGTGGTAGGGTGCCTCTGGTGACCAGGTGCCGCAGCTGGTAGGTGCCTCAAGTGACTGGGTGCTGCAGGTGGTAGGGTGCCTCTGGTGGCTGGGAGCTGCAGGTGGTAGGGTGCCTCTGGTGACTGGGTGCTGCAGGTGGTAGGGTGCCCTGGTGACTTGGTGCCGCAGGTGGTAGGGTGCCCTGGTGACTGGGTGCTGCAGGTGGTAGGGTGCTTCTGGTGACTGGGCGCTGCAGGTGGTAGTGCCTCAGGTGACTGGGTGCCCAGATGATAGGGTGCCTCTGGTGACTGGGTGCTGCAGATGGTGGTGCCTCTGGTGACTTGGTGCTGCAGGTGGTAGGGTGCCTCTGGTGACTGGGTGCCGCAGGTGGTAGGTGCCTCAAGTGACTGAGTGCTGCAGGTAGGGTGCCTCTGGTGACTGGTGCTGCAGGTGTAGGGTGCCTCTGGTGACTGGGTGCTGCAGGTGGTAGTGTGCCTTGGTGACTGGGTGCCGCAGGTGGCAAGGTGCCACTGGTGATTGGGTGCTGCAGGTGGGGGTGCCCTGGTGACTGGGTGCACAGGTAGGGGTGCCCTGCACTGGGTGCTGCAGGTGGGTGCCCTGGTGACTGGGTGCTGCAGGTAGTAGGGTGCCCCTGGTGACTGGGTGCCGCAGGTGGTAGGGTGCCTCAAGTGACTGGGTGCTGCAGGTGTAGGGTGCCCTGGTGACTGGGTGCTGCAGGTGGTAGGGTGCCTCTGGTGACTGGGTGCTGGAGGTGGAAGGGTGCCTCTGGTGACTGGGTACTGCAGGTGGTAGGTGCCACTGGACTGGGTGCTGCAGGTGGTAGGGTGCCTCTGGTGACTGGGTGCTGCAGGTGGAAGGGTGCCTCTGTTGACTGGGTGCTGCAGGTAGTAGGGTGCCTCTGGTGACTGGGTGCTGCAGGTGGTTGGGTGCCTCAAGTGACTGGGTGCTGCAGGTGGTAGGGTGCCTCTGGTGACTGGGTGCTGCAGGTGGTAGGGTGCCTCTGGTGACTGGGTGCTGGAGGTGGAAGGGTGCCTCTGGTGACTGGGTGCTGCAGGTGGTGGGTGCCCTGGTGACTGGGTGCTGCAGGTGGTGGGGTGCCTCTGGTGACTGGGTGCTGCAGGTGGTAGGGTGCCTCTGGTGACTGGGTGCCGCAGGGAATAGGGTGCAGCGAATGGTAGGGTGCCACGGATGATAGGGTATCACGGATGGTAGGGTGCCACAGATGGCATTGTGCTTTGTATTGTAAAGAGCCTCTGGTGACTGGGTGCCGCAGGTGGTAGGGTGCCTCTGGTGACTGGGTGCCGCAGGTAGAAGGGGGGCACGGATGTTAGGGTGCCGCGGATGGTAGGATGCCGCGGGTTGTAGGATGCCGCGGGTGGTAGGGCGGCGGAATTAAAAACAAGTATCGGGTGTTCTATTATGCAGAATAAAGAGATAATTCTTTAAGGAGCAGTAGGATGAGGAATTAGTTAAGGGACGATAATATATGAGAATAAAAGCAAGTTTGATAATGAAGGACCAGGAGGATGTAATGTATGGTAAAAAGCGTAAGGTTGTTGTGGTCTGGAAAGATGTGACTCAAACTACAGTTTGTTAAGGGACAGTAATACGTGGAATTAAGATTAAGTTGCTTAATTGGTCAACTAATCTGACCTAACCTAAACTAACCTAAAGTAATCTAACATAACATAACATGACCTATTCCTAACCTAACCTCCCACTAACGTAGAGTTTGAGTGATTATTTTTTCTGGTGAAATAAGATTAGTTATTTAATTTTAGGTTATCTCAATATTGTTACCTAAAGTTTATGTTGCCAGTTCACGCAGCATCAGAGAAGTCCCACAATAAAACACAGGCACACCTCACCACACTTACTGCACAAGAGGATAAGAGTGTGTTAGTCAAGCAACGTAATGGGGGAAAGCGTATGGTGGTTTTGTTGGGATAGCCTTGACGCGGAATCGGCTTACCAGTATACCATTGTTTGTGTATATATTGTATGTTTGTATTATCTATGTATATATGTTGAACCAGTTTGAGCGTGCATGACCATCTTACTAAATATGTATGTATGTATGTATGTATGTATGTATGTATGTTTGTATGTATGTTTGTATGTATGTATGTATAATAATCACCCGGTGCAATTCTCATCTTTGTGGTTATTATTTCTTTTTTTTTTACTTCCATTGTTAGGGTATTTATGCACAGTTCAGTTAGGCTTAGTTCCTGCAATTTGACAATAGGCAGTTTATGAAAATTAATAAAGACTTTGTTTCATGTATGTGAATAACGTTACTCTGGTTGTTATAATAATGAAACCACCACCACCACCACCACCACCACCACCACCACCACCACCACCCCCACCCCACCCCCAACAACAACAACAACAACAGCAAGAACAAGAACACGAACAAGAAGAACAAAAGAACAAGAACAACAAGAACAACAATGTAATGAGACCGTCTCACAAGAAGAAGATTACATATAGCTAGAATATTGATAGTATAAGAGTATAAAAGAGAGGAAGATTTTGGTAGCGTGCTCGTGATATATATTTACACTGCCAGTATACTTATCGTATCTTATACGTCAATACACATCTATTACGTCTTAAGGCGACTTCTCAAACACTGCTTCGTTACAACTCTTTATTAATTACGAACATGACATGGACACATTAATAACACCTTCTGTTGAAGTTACTAGGACATTATATTTACGTTACTAGGACATCATATTACGTTACTAGACACTGATTCTCGGACACGAACATGAAATGAATACACTTCCCACGTAAGTAACTCATCCCATGGAAAGCTCTGACAAACACTCACGTGACCTAGGGGAGGCCTAGCAGGGAGACTGCTTAGCTGGAACACTGGTGTCGGGAGGGCGACTGCTTAGCTGGGACACTGGTATCGGGAGGGCGACTGCTTAGCGGGGACACTGGTGTCGGGTGGGCGACTGCTTAGCTGGGACACCGGAGGGAAGTCTCGGTCCTGACCGGAGGCGACTTGCCTCCGGCCTCTGACTTCGGCTCGAGCAGGCCTGGTGGTGTCGTAGCTGGCCACCTTGTTACAAGACAACTACTTCACTGCGAATCCCGAGGGAGGACCAGGACGTCCTATATATTGGGATGCGAGCCGTCAGGTTCAGCTGGCCGGGGGGGCGGGGGGGGGGCGGCGAAGGGTCTCCTTACATTTGACCTCGCAAATGTGCGGTCAGGCCTGGACTTTTTCAGAACTATCTGGGAAAGTCATCAGGTGGGGCCGTGTGTATATTGGGAGAGCAACCGTGAGAGTTCCCCTACACTTGACCTCCCTAATGTCGGGTCAGACTGGAGTTTCTGAGATGTAAGGAGAAGTCATCAGGTGGGGCCGTGTGACACGAGAGGCCCTGGTTGATTTGTGGCCCCTTGAGTTGGGCTCCGAGGGTTACATTTGACCTGGCTAATGTGAGGTCAGGTCCGGCCTTTGTTCAGAGAGTAGGTTATTGTATATTGGAAGAGAGTCGGCTGGTGCCTTCTTACATGTCTGTTGTGGTGACATGTCACATGGGAGGGGAGCTAGTTGATTTGTAACCCTGGTCAGCCGCAAGAGATACCCTATACTTTTGACCTCCCTAATGTCGGGTCAAGTCTGGCTTTCCTCGCGATGTAAGCTGTGGTCTGACAAACCATCACTACACCTCCCGCCAAGACCAAAGCTTTCATGCTCAGAGAACTGATGACACATTTAAAGTAGACAGTAACATCATGTGCAGTATCTAATATAGTCCCTGAGGCGATAATGCATCCTTACATTTTATAAATTATAACATTAGAGATGTATGTTTTTCTACTGGCATAGTTTGATCTGACAAAGCTTACTATACCTCCCGCCAAGATTAAAGCTTCTATGACAGGAGAAAAAAATAAAATACATACACAGTAAGTGAACATAGAGTGATCTAAAGATCCTTCATATCTAGCATAGTGTCCGAGGCAAACTTGCAAATCACATTCTACAAACAAAAACAGGTGTTACATTGCCTAACCAGGCCGTGTCAAAATAATAATTCATCTCAGTCAGTAAATGGCTACAACGTTGTGTTTCGTAGTGCAATACATTGATCAAATGAACTCATAGAAAAAGTGACTAATCTTTTTTTAAAAAAACATTCTTTGTAGTACATGTTAACAAAAATCAGAGAATGAAATACTTCATACAAAATGCTCCTGCTTCACATGTTAGGGTGTTATATCTTTTTATTACACATCAGCAACATCAACAACATCAGTACATTTGTTGGGTTCAGCATGGCTCAAGTCCTCCATCCAGCTGGTATCTGAAAATAAGGAATGCCGGCAGCACAACAGCGGTAGTCGATTGGTCCTTCTGATTATCCACCTTTTCATTGTCGACTTTCTTCTGATGTCAGCACAGCGTCTCTTCTGTCTTCACATAGCACGTTTTTCCTTCTTCAATACCGCACTTTGTAGGTCGTGTCACCACATCTGACTTCTTCTCACTTCCTCCTGGTTTCTATAATATTCCAGATGATTTTTCTGTTCACCTGCGCTTCTTTATACATCTTCATTTTCATATTCCAGACGATTTTTCTGCTCATCTGCGTTTCTTTATACATCTTCGTTTTCCGTAATATTCCAGATGAATTTTTCTGCTCCATTTGTATTTCTTTATGCATCTTCGTTTTCAACATATTCCAGACGATTTTCTGTTCATCTGCCGTCGGCCCTCTCCGGCCGGGATGAAAGCCGGTCCACTGCTTGGGCTGTCGTCTCCTTAGATGACTCATAAGGCAGGTTCCGCGGACCAGGCCTCGCCCTCCGTACGTGAGTGTCGGCGAGACCAAAGACCGTCCTGTCTTACACCTTCCACAGTGGTGAATCCCTCCCTGGCTGGGCTCACCAGGGTTCGTTGTGTGGCACTTCATTCCACACTCCTTAACTTCCTAGTAGAAAAATATAAACTCTTCTTAATCCTAGACCAGGTAGGACTTGAAAGAAGTGGGGTGGTGTGTGGCGGGTGTGGTGCTGCATTCCTCACGCTGCTACTTCTCTTCTTATATGTGCTGTGGTCGGATTCCGGCTAGCCATGGGGCGGTACTGTGTGTGACATTTGACAGAAACAATCCTAAAGGGATGATGGATTAGTTGGAAGTGCATTCGCAAAAAAAAACAAATATTTACTTTATACGTTACGTCAATGTTTGGTAACTATTATTTCCGTCACGACAATTTTCTCATTAGGCTGGGTCGGGGAGTGAAGCTCTGCTCACTACATTGAATATTATTTATCACTACGCGTCAAAGAGTACATTACAAATCATACTAGCATAAAAACACACTGAGTGAAGCTCTGTAATTATCGCAATGTTAAGTAACACTAACCACCAATTTCGAAGCATAACTCACAGGACAAAACATTGGTGGTCACACGGGCGGGCGAAGCGGGAAACATTCGGCCATTATGCGCGCGTGACCTAGGGAAGGCCTGAGGTGTAGAGTGGCGTAACCGGGACGGGGCGCGGGGCGGGGCGGGGCGGGGCGGAGCGGGGTAGGGCAGGGCAGGGCAGGGCAGGGCGGAGCGAGGCGGGAACTGATGGGTACGGAGGGTGAGGTGAGGGTTAGGACAGGGAGGAGGATGTAGGTTAAAAGACATGTTAAGTTATAACAGTTAGTACAGACACCGCTTCTATCGCTAAAACACAATGGGTACATTTAACACTGACCGACAATTAAAATGCACTTGGGATACTGAGAACTTCACAGAACGCGGGGAACACTGAGAAATTACGTTAAGCACTGAACATATTTCTAGACAAAAAAAAATTCGCGCATACCACGACGAGAGACATTTACTTGAGCTGTAACGGTGACACACTAGGCCACTTTTCACGCTACGACGCTATGACACAGGAATTACTTATTACACAATTGTAGACAATACTTAGACTGAAACAAATGAAGGATGAAACGAGCCAGGTGTTATGGCTAACCGAGGGAGGGCATGGGTTTACGTTAAGTACACTGTTACCAATAACAAGGGACGAGGGAAGCGTGAATGCCACCAATATAATGTTACGAATGCAACCACCCTTGTACTGCCTGCTTCGTCAAGATAGTTACGAGATTACTTCAAAAGATTCTAACTATCACTGTACTGAACACTAAAGTTAAGAGGCGTGAGTTCTTACTTTAAGTGCGCTGCCGCCATTGTAATGCTACAAAAATTTACACAAGATGATTAATATATATATAAGAAGAATATTTAGTAAGAGAGTAAAAGAGAGGAAGACTTTGGTAGCGTGGCCGTGATAGTTATTTACACTGTCAGTACACTTATCGTATCTTATACGTCAATACACATCTATTACGTTCTTAAAGGCGACTTCTCAAACACTGCTTCGTTACAACTCTTTATTAATTACGAACATGACATGGACACATTAATAACACCTTCTATTGAAGTTACTAGGACATTACGTTACTAGGACATTATTACGTTACTAGACACTGATTCTCGGACACGAACATGAAATGAATACACTTCCCACATAAGTAACTCATCCCGTGGAAAGCTCTGACAAACACTCACGTGACCTAGGGGAGGCCTAGCAGGGAGACTGCTTAGCTGGGACACTGGTGTCGGGAGGGCGACTGCTTAGCTGGGACACCGGAGGGAAGTCGGGTCCCTGACCGGAGGCGGGACTCGGCTGTGTCCTCCTCTGACTCTGCCTCTGACTCTCGGGATGCTCGAGCGAGGGGGGGTCGGCGAAGGGTCTCCTTACATTTGACCTGGCCAATGTGAGGTCAGGTCTGGACTTTTCAGAACTATCTGGGAAAGTCATCAGGTGGGGCCGTGTGTATATTGGGAGAGCAACCGTGAGAGTTCCCCTACACTTGACCTCCCTAATGTCGGGTCAGACTGGAGTTTCTGAGATGTAAGGAGAAGTCATCAGGTGGGGCCGTGTGACACGAGAGGCCCTGGTTGATTTGTGGCCCCTTGAGTTGGGCTCCGAGGGTTACATTTGACCTGGCTAATGTGAGGTCAGGTCCGGCCTTTGTTCAGAGAGTAGGTTATTGTATATTGGAAGAGAGTCGGCTGGTGCCTTCTTACATGTCTGTTGTGGTGACATGTCACATGGGAGGGGAGCTAGTTGATTTGTAACCCTGGTCAGCCGCAAGAGATACCCTATACTTTTGACCTCCCTAATGTCGGGTCAAGTCTGGCTTTCCTCGCGATGTAAGCTGTGGTCTGACAAACCATCACTACAACAAGAACAACAACAATAACAATAACAATAACAATAACAACAACAATAATAACAATAATAACAATAATAACAACAATAACAATAATAATAACAATAACAATAATAATAACAATAACAATAACAATAATAATAACAATAACAATAATAATAACAATAACAATAACAATAATAATAACAATAACAATAATAATAACAATAACAATAATAACAATAATAATAACAATAATAATAACAATAATAATAACAATAATAATAATAATAATAATAATAATAATAATAATAATAATAATAATAATAATAATAATAATAATAATAATAATAATAATAATAATAATAATAATAAATGTTAATTAGTCAACAGAACTAACTCACAAACCAGGTCCAGGACAGTACAAACACATCAGCTCAAGGAACGACACAAGAGCAGGCGCTAGTATCAGGGATTTGGCACCAAGGAATAACTAATCGCTCTGTTTAACCTGTAAAGAGTAAGAATGGCGTTTACCATGACTGTTACGTTCAAATTTGCATATCCAGGTATGTAAATGATGTATGTCAGCACGACAGTGTTTTGAGATTTGTGTCTGTATTTTTTTACTGTTGTTTTTGACTATTGTAAACACACACACACATACCCACACACGCACACACACACACACACACACACACACACACACACACAGCGCGCACACGCACACACACAGATAGAGGAGAAGCACTAGTGGCTCACGCTCCGAGATGCGAGACAATCCTCTTACGCAAGATTATCCCCGGCCCGCAAGATTACACCACTGATTGTTCTATCATTACTGCATTGGGACGAGCTCTGAGGGCCGCCGGGGGCCTCTCTAACTATGGGTGGTGGGTATATGGTGCTGAAGTTATGGGTCGCTAGTCTCTGAAGTTCTGCAGTTGGGGGATGCTTGAAGTTGTGGTACGCTAGATACTGAAGGTGTAGTATGCTTGGTTATGACATTAGGTTATGCTGTTATAAAGTTGTGATAAGCTAAGTTCTGAGTTGTGATGCCAAAGGTTAGAAACTTGTAAAGTTGTAATACACTAGGTTTTAAAGTTGTGGTACGCTAGGTTATACATTTGTGGTATGCTAAGTTTTAAGGTTGTGGTATGCTAAGTTATGAAGTTTTAGTACACTAGGTTATAAAGTTGTGATAAGCTAAGTTCTGAAATTGTGGTACACTAGGTTCAAATTGTGGTTTGCTAAGTTCAAGTTGTGGTATGCTAAGTTTAAGTTGTGGTATGTTAAGTTCAAGTTGTGGTATGGTAGGTTCAAGTTGTGGTATGCTAAGTTCAAGTTGTGGTATGGGAAGTTCAAGTTGTGGTATGGGAAGTTCAAGTTGTGGTATTCTAGGTTCAAGTTGTGATATGCTAGGTTATAAAGTTGTGGTCATCTAAGTTCAAATTGTGGTATGTTAGGTTGTAAAGTTGTGGTAAGCTGAATTCAAGTTGTGGTAGGCTAAGTTCATGTTGTGGTACACTAAATGCAAGTTATGGTAAGCTAAGTTCATGTTGTGGTACGCTTAGTTGAAGTTGTGGTATGCTAGGTTGTAAAGTTGTGGTAAGCTAAGTTAAAGCTATGGTACGTTAAGTTCAAATTGTGATATGCTAATTACATAAAAAATCTGCTTAGACAAAGATTACCCGCCATAACACAATACACAACAGTGTCCCCGCCAGAACCAGAAGTGCCTGAGGCATGAGCCAATCACAGTGGCCTGTGAGTGTTGTGGTCAACTGTAATTGTGCTTATTGGCTGGAAGCTGAGTTCGTGCCCCAGGAAGACAGGCACTTGGTTTTCAAACTCAGAGTCTGTGTGGCAGGTATTTGGGTGTATTCTATTTGGAAAAATCTTAAGTTCCCATTTGTTTTGAAATACGTGGTTCCCGTTTAACTAGCTAGGAGAATAAGTCTATTGTTTTGAAATGTAATTGTCAAATCCTAATAATGAGTGTTCAACAAACAAAGAACCGTTAAGAAGAGTTATAAATTCCGCCACCCCCCTCTTGGTATTGAGTAAAATATTGTCATACATGTCTTGGGTGTTAAGCATGGATACATTGAGTCCTAAGTAACAACACATCTATCACTTGTTTCCCCTAGGGTCTCAGTTATCGCATGTTATTCCTGCTCCCCAGTTATCATCGCCCACGTCCATTCTTCCTCCTCCTCCCCCTGTGTGAGGGCCTAACCTAACCACAAACTAGCCGTGAGCCTCCTCTCTCTCCCTCCTCACATTCCATAGTCTTCTCTCTCTCCCTCACTCCCTCCTTCGTCATTTCTCCTGCCTCACCAGTTACCTCAACCCTTCCATCTCACGTGTATACAGAGAATGAAATAAAGAGGAGAATAAAGAAATAAGAACTACGAAGAAATAAATAAATAAAATAAAGAAAGAGTAAAAGTAAGTAAATAAATAGAATTAAGAAAGGCAAAAGATAAAGCTATTATTACACTAAATTCAAGTTGTGGTACGCTGGGTTCAAGTTGTGGTACACTAAGTACAATTTTCCCTCGAGTCTTGAAAGAGTGTAGGGAACAGATTAGCGGACCCCTCGTAAACTTATTTACAAAATCATTAGACACTGGAGTTGTGCCAGACTTGTGGAAACAGGCAAATGTAGTACCCATATTCAAAAAGGGAGACAGAGCATCAGCGTCAAATTACCGGCCGATCAGTTTGACGTCAGTAGTGGGGAAATTTCTTGAATCAATTATAGCAGATAGCATCCTATCGCATCTAGAGAAAAGCAAATTAATCTACGACTCTCAACATGGGTTTACAATGGGAAAATCTTGTCTAACAAATCTGCTAACGTTTTTAGGAAAGTCTTCGAGGTAGTAGATAATGACGAAAATTACGATGTTATTTACTTAGACTTTAGCAAAGCATTTGACAGAGTACCGCATCAGAGGCTTCTGAGAAAAATTAAGGCTCATGGTATCGAGGGGAAAGTTTAAAATTGGATAAAATCATGGCTCACCGATAGAACGCAGAGGGTCAGCGTAGATGGTGTTAAATCTGAGTGGGGCCGTGTAACCAGTGGGGTTCCCCAGGGGTCAGTACTAGGCCCACTCTTGTACATAATCTACATAAACGATTTAGATACTGGGATCAGCAGTGACATAAGCAAGTTTGCGGATGACACCAAAATAGGGCGGCAAATTAATTCAGAGCAGGATGCAAATGCATTACAGGAGGATCTAAATAAACTGCAGGGGTGGTCTGAAAAATGGCAAATGAAATTCAACACCAGCATGTGCAGCGTACTTAATATTGGAAGAACAAATACTTATAATGTATACAGCCTTAACAACATCAACCTAGAGAAGCCGACTTGTGAAAGAGACCGAGGGGTACTTGTAAGCCCGGACCTACGGCCTAGAAAACAGTGCGTTAATGTTCGAAATAACGCAAGCAGAGTATTGGGTTTTATATCTAGAAGTGTAAGTAACAAGAGTGCAGAGGTCTTACTGCAACTATATCTTGCGCTAGTCAGGCCGCACCTCGATTATGCGGTCCAGTTCTGATGCCCCTATTATAGAATGGATATAAATTCACTAGACTCGGTGCAGCGAAGAATGACAAAAATGATTCCGGGACTTAGAAACCTTCCATATCAGGATAGGTTAAAGAAACTTAACTTGCATTCCCTAGAAAGACGAAGAGTGCGGGGAGATATGATAGGTAGAAGGATAAAGCTATAGGTAGAAGGATAAATCGTGGCGAAATTCACCTCCGGGACTATTATAGGGTATTGGTGAGTAGGGTTAAAACCGAGATAAGGAAAGCAAAGAGGAATAATGAGGTAAGGATAGCAAGGGAGGCGAAGACAAACCCCAAAGGATTCTACCAAATGTATCAAACTAAAACACGAGAAAAGATTGGACCAATACGGTCAGACACCGGCGAGCTCACTGATAACGACAGAGAAATGAGCAATAATTTGAATAAATATTTTTCAACAGTTTTCACCACCGAAAATTTAAACATGATACCCGAGGCACCGACTCTATTCAGAGATAGTGAAGAAAACAAATTAAGTGAGATAGTAGTGACTAGTAACGATGTTAGTAAGCAAATAAACATACTAAAGCCTAATAAGTCACCTGGTCCCGATGAGATATTTGCCAGAGTATTAAAGGAATGTAAGGAAGAACTTAGTATGCCCTTAGCAAAGTTGTTTAACATGTCCTTAAAAACAGGTGTAGTACCAGAATCCTGGAGGATAGCGAATGTAATACCGATTTTCAAGAAGGGGGATAGATCACTATCCTCTAACTACCGCCCAATCAGTCTAACATCAATAGTAGGCAAATTACTGGAAGCAATCATCTCAAACTCTATTCGAAATCACCTGGAGAAGCACAGATTGATCAATGATTCCCAGCATGGCTTCACAAGCGGACGTTCTTGCCTAACTAATCTATTAACATTCTTTTCATCAGTTTTCGAATCGGTGGACGAGGGGCACAATTATGATGTGGTATATCTCGACTTTAGCAAAGCCTTCGACAGAGTCCCCCACGAAAGACTAATTAGAAAGGTAGAAGCACATGGATTAGGGCATGGTTACAGGACAGGAAACAGCGAGTGAGCATTAACGGCACTAAGTCCCATTGGAGCAACGTCACAAGTGGAGTTCCTCAAGGCTCAGTACTTGGACCATTATTATTTAATATATACATAAACGACATAGATATCGGCATAGACAGCAACATAAGTAAATTTGCTGATGACACTAAAATAGGACGTGTTATTAAATCTGACGAGGACTAGGCAAAACTACAGGAAGATCTAAACAAATTTTTCGAATGGTCTGAAAAATGGCAGATGAAATTCAACGTCGACAAATGTAAAGTACTCAGTATAGGAGATGTAAATAGGGAAACCAGATACCAGATGAACAACGATGCCATAGAGAAATCCGACTACGAGAGAGATTTAGGAGTAATGATAAGTAGGAACCTTAAACCAAGTAAACAATGTGTTTTTGCTCGTAACAAGGCTAATAAAGTACTTGGGTTCATACAAAGGAGTGTTAGTTACAAGACTAGAGAGGTCATCCTAAAACTGTATCTTGCTCTTGTGAGACCACACCTGAACTACGCAGTTCAGTTCTGGTCACCGTATTACAGAATGGATATAGAATCCTTGGAAAGAATTCAGAGGAGAATGACAAGACTAATCCCGGGCATCAGGAACCTTGAGTATAGAGACAGGCTAAAGCATCTTAATTTGCACTCCCTCGAGAGACGTAGAGCGAGGGGCGACCTGATAGAGGTGTATAAGTGGAAGGCAGGGCTAAACAAAGGGGACATTACAAAGGTACTCAAACTATCCAACCAGGAGCGAACTCGTAACAATGGTTTTAAATTAGATAAATTTAGATTTAGGCGTGAAATCGGTAAACACTGGTTTGGAAACAGAGTAGTGGATGAATGGAACAAGTTACCAAATATCATCATTAACTCGAATACGCTGAATAGCTTCAAACATAGGTTGGATGCTTGTATGAGCAATAGGGGTTGGGTGTAAACGGGACTGCCCAGTATGGGCCAATAGGCCCGCTGCAGTTTCCTCCATTCTTATGTTCTTATGTTCTTATGTTCTTAAGTATTTAAGTGGGTGAAAGGAATCAATAAAGGGGATATAGATAAAGTTCTTATAATATCCGAGCAGGACAGGACTCGGAGCAACGGATTCAAGTTGGATAAGTTTAGGTTTAGGAGGGAGACAGGAAGAAACTGGTTCACAAATAGGGTGGTGGACGAGTGGAACAAGCTTAGCAACATTGTAGTAAGTGCGGGAACTCTGGAAAGTTTCAAAAGGAGGCTAGATAGATTCATGGATGATAGAGAGTGGTAGTAACTCTCGACAGGAGCTGCCATGCACAGGCCAACCGGCCTATTGCAGACTCCTTATTTTCT